ATTTAAATCCCAGCTCCATCTCTGCCATTTACTAGTTATGTGACTTCTGGTAATTCCTTACCATCTCTGTGTGTTGGTTTCCCAAGGGAAGTAATGATCACAGTAGTAACGTCTGTTTGGGATGTTGTGCGGAGTAGTTACTTTATGCAAAGGACTCAGTCTGGGTTACTTTGTAGGCTCTGCCTCTGGGAACTACTCCTTTTCTTCTTCAACTATGAGGTTTTGGGGGGAGATTTTCCCTCTTACATGACTCTGCTTCCTTAGCCTCTGCATTTAGTGTTACACTGGGGGCAGGCTTCTAACACAGCAGTGCCAATCAGAGTCCTTTACTGGGATCCCTGAAACTGGGAAATAAGGAAGGAAACCTGAAGTAACTCTCGCATGTGCAATGTGGACTACTGGCAGCCATGTTTCCAGTCTGTGGAGAGAAGCAGACATTAGAGATAGAAAGAGCCTAACATTGTTAGAACTCTTGGTTCCGTTTTTCCTAAGCTCACTTGCAAGCAAAGAGAGTTTTAATATATCTCCTAAGGTACCTTAGAATAGTACATATCATGAGGTCTCCTGTCTGTGTGTCCACTTCTTTCTCTTTCTGTCTCCTTTTTTTAAGATCTTTTTTTTAACTTATTTATACAGAGAGGGGAATGAAGGAAGAAACAGAGGGAGAGAAACATTGATGTGTGAGAGATACATAGATCTGTTGCCTCTCTTATGCCCCCACCCAGCGACCTGACCTGCAACCCAGGCATGTGGCCTGACTGGGACTCAAACCAGCCACCTTTCAGTTTGCAGGCTGGCACTCAATCCACTCTATGACATCAGGCAGGGATCTTTTTAAAAATTTTATTTATTTAGTTTTAGAGAGAGGGGAAGGGAGGGAGAAAGAGAGGGAGAAAAACATCAATCAGTTGCTTCTCACATGCTCCCAGCTGGGGACCTGGGGACCTGGCCAGTTACCCAGGCATGTGCCCTGACTGGGAATCAAACTGGTGACCTTTCAGTTCTCAGACTGGTGCTCAAGCTACTGAGCCATGCCAGCCAGGGCTGCCTATCTCTCTCTTAAAGGACAAGAACTCTTGTAAACCCCTTACTAATGCGCGCACACACACACACACACAATCAAGGCAATTCCCAGCTTCTTATGGTCCTTCTGCCTGCACTGTCTGCACACACCAAACAAAAGACAGCTGTGTCGATGCCGGTCCTTAGGAACTGCATTTGCTAAACAGGATGTTGTCCCAGAAAGATGTGCCCTTCTCTGTGTGCTCCTTGTCCTTTTTTTCACTGCTCTATTCAGTAACTTCACAAATATATAATGAGCAGCTGCCAAGAACCATGTCAGGCCTGGGGGCCCAGAGAGGCAACAAACAGTTACTGCTGTCAAGGAACCCACAGGCTTATGGGACCATCAGGCTGTCAAGAGACAACTCCAAGAGAGACAGTGGGATGAGTGTTGAGCAGATGTTATTACCAAATGCTGCAGCAGCTCAGAGGAGTCTCTGTCACTGGTTGTCTGGGACAGTCGTCTGGCTGGCCTACCCGCCTCCAGCTTCTCCCCACCCCAGGGCCACCCTGCCCATTGCTGCCAGAATGCCTTCCTGAGCACAGCTCAGCCGCTCCTTCCTCCACAGGCTTCAGCACACATTCCTTAGCCTGGCGAGATCCTCATCCAGATGTTGCCTCTACCTACTTTCTCAGCCACATTGTCCACCATTCCCCATTCATTAACCTCACCCCCAAATCTAACCAGCCTGCTCACTCTTGTCATATGTCTTCAGCGTTTTCATACCACTGTGCCTCTCCTCACCCTGTTCCTTTTGTCTCCTGTCCCTGCAAGTGTCAATTGCCACAAAATGTGGCAAAGGTGTGTTACCTCTCATGTGCCTGCTCTGGTCATCTGGCTGTGTTGCTATGTAGATAAGTATTCTGTGGACACACCTGGGCCCAGCAAAAGAGTGAAGGGATCAGGTGGCAAAATCTGCCATGGACACCAAACTGAGTGTGTGCTCGGTGTGTGTGTGTGTGGGTAAACAATGCACTTGGGGTGCATTTGCAGACTTCGTTGCCCCTGTTTCCCATCCCCATGAAGACTTCCCTATGCTTCCAAGTGAAATTAATGCTTCCCCCCCCCCCCCCGAGCTTTTATAACCTTCTCTCTACAGCTCTTTTCAGAGCACAGATTGCTCCTTTCTTTTTAAGGATCCATCCCCCATATTTTCTATTTGAGGGTACAGATCTACCATCCTATGGAGCATGGTACAAGGTAGGGAGTCAAAACACATGATCTGAACAGATGGAGCCACATGGAACACCACTGCCATTCAGCAGGATGGGTGTACAAGCGCCTAAAGAGCCTCAAAGGCTCTGTCCTAAGGAACTGGCTTTCCCAGCAGGTTTCTCTGCCGGGGGCAGACTCAGAGGATTGTGTCATTGTGGCCGTGTTCTCACTCCTGAGTCCATTCCCTGTGCTGTTACCTCTGTCTGACCTGTCATTTGCTAACTTCTTGTGCGGCTGTGACCACTGTGGTCTGAGCCCCCAGCCTGCCTCTTTCATTCTTTTACTCACTAAACTATTACTGATGCCTCCTCAGTGGTCAGCTCTGTGTTTGCTGTTTGGGGTACAGGGATGATGTCCTGCCTTCATTCCAATCCCTAACTTGGGGAGAGTGGGCTAGAGATGGAGGCAGGTCTGAGACCTGGGTAATAGGAGACGAGTGATGTGGGCCATAAGAGGAAAGCAGGGGACTGCTGAATGAGAACTGCAGAAGGTTTCTGGGGTAGGAGGTGGAGGTTGCCGACACACCCACACTCACCAAATTCCCTTCCCCTCTGCGCTCCTTAGCACCTCATGACTGAGTCGTCTGATTGCCACAGCTACAAGCTCTGTCCTCCCCAGTCCAGGGACTTACATAGATGGAGCCAGGAAACATTTAAACAGCCTCAGTACACCTTACCACCTAGACCCCACCCCACACAAACATGAACACCCAGCACCAATTACTTACCCCCCACCTATCCCCCACCGTACCTGGGGCCCTAAGGCTACCACCCACTGAATTCCCTGAATCACCTTTGCTGAGTTCACACCTGGGTCTCTGGGCCCACATAACCACTTGGGCTCCTTAGCTGCTCGGGGCCCTGGTTTTCCTTTCCCAGGTCTGGGTGACCACTGTAGGCTTCTGTGATATCACCAAATTGTTATAGGAGCTCCAGAACTATTGGCAGATTCGCTAAGGCTGCTGCACCCCTCTCTCCCTTTGGGTTCCTGGCCCACAGCAAGCACCTCCCCCCTCCTCCCCTTTCCCCCTTCCCATCCCACAAACATGTTTAGGCTGCAGGCCCAGCTGCAGAGCTGTATAGCCCTGTTGGCAGGAGACGGGCTGGCTCCAGAGAGCTGGCTGAGGGAAGGCAGCAGATCACATTTCTTCAGCCTGTGCCAAATATTATTCAGATGTAGCTTTTCAGACAGACACAAATTGCTCATCCAATAAACACAGAAAGGCTAATCCCTGGACATTTATCAGAGTGGGGAAAGACGAGAGAAAGGGACGGTCACAAGAGGCTTTTGAGAGCTGGCCTGGTGTGGCTGGCCCAAGGGGAGGTGGTGAGACCTCCCTGCACTCCTGGGGTTTTCTCCTTAGAAGGCCTGAAACCCAGCACCGAGGCTTTGGGATTCGCTTTCATCGTGACACACAAAGCCTGTGTTGGTACACACACTTCCTGTAGTGAACAGTGAGGAAGAAATCCACATGGGCCAGGGTGCCTTTGTGGACCTCACCACCCATTGTCAATGATCGGGGGGTAGCTGGCTGCAGGGACTTCACAGCTTTCCCCACTCTGCACAAAGTGTCCTCTGGCTTTCTGTGTTTGCCTGAGTTTGCAGAGTTCTCAGGAGACATCTCCCCTGGCCTGGAATCTCTAGCTTCTGGCTGACAGGTGTGAGAGCATGGCAGCTGAGAAAGCAGGTCAAGGGACTGGGCTGACCACATGGCAGGGGACCAGAGACACAGGGGTCCTCTGTCCATACCTGTGGGCTGGCTAAGCCACTGAGGTCTTTTGCCAGCTCCTTTTTGCTAGGCCCTTCTAATGGACTCCACAAACTTTCCCTTCGAGGGACTTTGCCCAGAAATGAGATAAACAGGGCCCTGCTCTGAGCCCAGGGAGAGGAGGACCAGGTGAAGCCTCTGGAGAGAGCCTGGGTCCTCCCGCTGCCCTGTGCCCTCTCATTGCCCTGTGCCCTCCCGCTGCCCTGTGCCAGGCTCTGTGCCACACTGGGACCTTGCAGTGTGCCCAGTGGAGAGGACACCCTGGTGGTGAGAGGGGACCATGACCTGCTCGGGGTTAGGGCATGGACATAATTGCCTACTTTTATACAGTCAGGCACTTTTCTCACTTTTCTCACAACATGACGAGGGAGCTGTGCTAATGCTGGTTCCACTTTTCCAGTGAGGCACTGAGAGTTTGGAGCGCTCACCCAAGGTCACCCAGTTAGCGGACGAGAGGCCTCAGTATCTGTGCTTTTAATTTGACTCTGCCATATTTGCCTATGGGAGATGCAGGCCTATGAGAGATGCTTTGGTTTTAGAAATTCCAGCTAGATTGGAATCCTTAGGAGGTTTTGGAGGTTTGGAGTCCCCAGACCTGGAATGACGCCTTCAAGGCACAATGCTAAGGAAGGTTTCCATTGGGAACCTGGGGGCTCTATAATTAGGGTGAGTAACTTTCCTAGTGTTTTCAGAACTGAGAGGATTCCTGGGATATGGGACTTTCAGTTTCAAAACTGGGATGGTCCTGGGCAAACAGGGGTAAGCTGATTATCTTATCTGTAGCCAAAGGGCTGGGCACGAATTGTTGCCATGGACTTCAGAACCCACCTGCGGGTCATTCTCCTTCCCACATCTCTCAGGATAGGGCCTCACAGAGTGGCAAGCTGATTAGGAGGAAGGGTGAAGTAACAACCGTTGGCAGCCACTCTTTTTATATGCTTGGGTGAGGCAGACCATAACGTCAGGTGGCAACAAGGCAGGGGCACTGTGGCCCCAGAGCTGAGTGGGAACAAGGTGCCTTCTGGTGTGGCCAATCCTAACACAACAGGAAGACTAAGGGGGATTCTCAGGTGAGGACTGGCAAGCAGGTAGGCAAGCATGAACTTGGTGGCCTCAAAGGAAGCCAGAGGCAGGGCTTGACCAACTCTGACAGCAGGGAGGGAATTTCTTTTCTGGTTCTTGAAACTTAATTCCCGTTAGGAATGGCCTCTCCCCTACCCACCTGCCATCTGGGCCCACACTGACCTGGATTCCTAGCCCAGGAGCCCTGATCCTTCTTCCTCTCTGACTTGCTTGCCCCTTGTGTCTATTTGTCTGTCTGACTGGTCGTGAAGATCTGAAACTCGGTGAAGCAACAGCTGAAAGGTTTCAGTGTGAGGACTTTGGGTTCCGAGGCGCAGACTCCAAAGGCGGAAGTGCTGCTAGGCCTCAGGAGGGGTGCAGATGGGGCCGAGAAGCCTCAGGATCACAGGCAGTGCTCTCTTCCCTTCTAGCTCATTTCTTTGTGGTCTGTTCCATTCTCTCAGCTTATTTGCTTCTCTGTGTTTTGGCAGAAGATGGAACGTTTATGTAATTTCAATTACAGCCACACCCAGGGACTGACTGAATGTCTTGAATCTCAAATCCAACCATCAGAAGAGACCATCTGATTGGGCCAGCTTGGGTCAGATGTTCACCTCTGGTCCAAACAGCTGTGGCCACTTGGTGGGGTCAAGTAGTACAAAAGTGACAATGGATGACCCATCCCAGGAGGGTCAAGTTTTCAGAAAAAGGAGCCACCATGAATTGGCTAGACACTTATATAAATTTCCTGGAACTGATAGTTCCTGAACGATGCCTTCTCTTCTCTGAGCTTGTAAAACTTTTTTGAGGATCCGTCAGTGCTTGATTCAGTGCTACTCTCACACTGGAATATTTTAAAAATTAATTGGAGTAACTGTGGTAAGCTATTCAAAAGTCAGTTTTTAACCCATTACCTTTAGCTTATACAGCACCTTGTCATTTTCTCCTTCGCACTAGGGTTTAGAGCCTGGCTACTCAAAGTGAGATCCACAGACCAGCAACATTGTCAGGACGGCAGAATTCCCCTCTCACCTGCATAAGCAGCATCTGAACTTTAACATCTCCCCAGGTGATCTTACATTAAAGTTCGGTAAGCACTGGAAGGGGTTCTTGTCTTATCTCTCTTACTAGAATAAAAATTCTGAGGTGGGGTGGCTCTATTCAGCAAATGTCAATATTGTATACTTTCTACATGCAAAGTATCTTGCTTTGTCTTGCAATGGATGGAACTCCACAAATGCCAAAATGAGGGGATTTAAAGCTCAGAATAGTGGTCAAAGAGGATAAATTAATTATATGGTATCTGAGCTTTGCTTTAAAATAATCCTGTAGGCCCTGACCAGTGTGGCTCAGTTGGATGCGCATCACCCTGCAAAGCAAAATGTTGCCAGTTCAATTTCCAGTCAAGGCATGTGCCTGGGTTTTGAGTTTGGTCCCCAGTCAGGGCACATGTGAGAGGCAACTGATCAATATTTCTCTCTTATGTTGATGTTTCTCTCCCTCTCTTTCCCCTCCCTTTCTCTCTCTCTAAAAATAAGTAAAATCTTAAAAAATATCCTGTAGGAGGTGGAAGGAAGTTGGGGGTATGGTGAAGCAAATATGGGGTGGTGGGGAAATGGGGGTTCATTACACTATTCTTTCTACTTTTGTGTATTTTTGAAACTTTCCACAATAAAATTAAAAGAAAAGAATAATGGTGTAAGACATTATAAGAGGTTATCTAGCTGCCCAAAATAAATTTGTTTCTTGGCCAAATGAAGTAAATCCAAGGCACTAAGAGAGTTTCCAAGTAAGATTGTTCAGTCCCTGCCAGAGACTTTTGGAGGATGTGTGCAGTAGGAAGTTTCAAACTTTGGTCACGTTTACTATATCAAATGAGCCTAATTAGTTTAAAATTTCTCTTTTACAAGGAGGGAACAAATCTTTGAGGTACTTCAAGGGCTCCTTGAAATAACCCAAAGCAATGTCCAAATTAAGAAAAAGTCTCCTTTTAAAACTTAAACCCTAGGAAGTTTGTCAAATATACTTGATGAAAAAAGATTATATATCATTGTGAAACAATATTAAATTATTCACTTATCCAGAGTGACAATAAAAGATATAAAAAACAAATATAAATTAACTATTGTTAGCAAAACATTATTTAGTTCTTAGAATTGAGAAGGTTGTTTCCTTAAGTATTTAAGGACCTGATTAAGACAATATAAAATATAGAAATGTTTTTATATTTCTTGTTTAATGTTTAATAAAACATAGAATCTTTGTTTTCTAGGCAGAAAATATTTCATAATATCTGGAATAGAACAATAAACACAGGAAGAACTTTGTCATTTTAACAAAGCCAAAAAAAAGTACTAAACTCTAATTCTGTATTAGCTTACTTTTGATATTTAAATTCATTTACTTAAATTTATTCCAGTCATATTCAGCTTAACCACATATACAATTTCCTGTCTCAGGATTCTTTTTCCACAAAACTTCTATAACTTTCTTCATCCCTCTTAGATTGCCCCTTCTTATTTATTCAGAAATAACCAACTTTAGGACAAACTATTTTCTTTCAATTCCCTTAAAATGTACATACATATCTGATACCTTCTAATACCAAAACCATAATTTCTTTTCACTTTATAAAATTCTTACCCCTTAGAAACCTTAATTTCTAATGACAACTGCAAAGTAAGTAATCAGCATTCTTTAGATTTGTTGGCAGCACAACAGCACCAAGTGTTAGACTGGTGGAGTCAGCCTGGACTTTGGTTCAGCAACCTCAGTACTTACGTTCTGGCTAAGAAAGAATTCACGGCCAAGACTCAAACTATAAGACAAAGTTTATTTACAAAGTCACAGAGGTAAAAGAACTGAGCTGTGGAAGAAATGGGCTCAGGAAACACGATACAGAGGCAAAAGGGCCATTGGAGCTTATAAAAGAGAGGCAAGGAAAATGTGCCTGAGTGGGGATGGGCGGGGATGGGCGGGGATGGGCGGGGAAAGCATGGGCCTGCTCCATAGAGAGAGCACCACTGGATCCTCATCCTTGAGGGTTTTTACCTGGAGGTCTCAGGGGAGGATCCCAGTAAAATATTCATCAGCTTTCCAGAGGTGTCCTTTTAGGGTTGTGGTCTCTATTGATTGGTCAATGTCAGGGCAGGCGGTCATTAGTCAATGCAGTTGGTCCTGATGTCAACCATGGCATCACTTGTCTGGTTTTGCTGCTTTTCTGGGCCTGAAGCTGAAACACAAGTGAGGCCTAGATGTTATCCCTAGGGATTAACTCTTAAGGGAGTGGTTGTACAAGGCCTGCATGGGACTTTCATGAGGCCACTCTTCAGCCCCTGTTCCTCCTCCAAGGGGGTCTACCACATAACTAGTGATGTGCCAGAAAAGGATAGATCTGAAGAGGGTCCAAACCGCATGACCAGTGATATAAAAGGTCAGGGGGTCTAAATTGCATGCCCAGTAATATGCTAGGGGAGGGAAGGTTACCTTGGTGTTGAGGTTCCTTGTTTTTCCAGTTTTGCCCCTTGCTAGGTACCCTCGTGACCTTCTATACCTGGCCCATCGTCTTTGCTCTGCTCATGTCTGTCTAACTGCCTGCCACAGATTGGCAATTTATGAATATGTTTTAAAGCCTTTAGAAACATAGGCTCTTTCATTGGCAAATATATTCACAATTTTTTTAGAAACATGCATTTTTTGGTAAAGTACAAAACATATTCATTCACAGATTCAAATTTGTCTTTTAGTTTCTCTAAACTGAGGAGCCCAAAGTAGGAAAATTTAGAGTAATATAATAATTAATGTTTCCGAATTTTGAATTGTTTGAGATATCTAGATATTGAATAGTTTTTATCATTTAACTTAGTAAAACTCTAAAGTTTCAAGTTACCCAAAGAATTTGGGAAACTATGTTTAACAAATAATTATTATTAAAGGTTTTATCTAAAAAAACTTTTTATTTTATTTATATCAATTTATTAGTTTTAACTATGAGATATTAAAATGAATTATTATCCAGGCTATTTTCTTGATAAATTTTTACCAGAGATAACATGAACTTATTTTGGTAAATGCAGGTAAAACAAAAATACATTTAATATTAATGACTCTAAAAGATGTGTCTATTTAACCAAAATTTAAACCAGTTAATATCAAATATTTTCTAGATTATGTGATCATGAAAGGCATTTGGGTTAGTTTCTATTACCTATCTAATCTATACAAGTATTTAATTCTTTTTAAGACTTTAAGTATTTCAAATTAGGAATACCATCTGGAGGTAGAAAATACCATATTATGCATAAAATACACAAACAAACACAAGCATGTCACAAACAGACCAAAATAGAATTACTACTAGTTGTATGAAAGACACAATTTTTCTTATTTGCCATTCACAGTTTTTGAGGAGGGTGGAAAAAGGAAATGGGAGGGTGTTCAGGCATGAGATATTTCTACACTTGTGTTTTAAAAGTGTTCCTTTTCCATTTTTTCCCTTAGGTTTCTCAGCCTCAGATAGTTGTGGGTTGTGTTTGCATTTCTAAGTACTTAGCAGGAAGACCATCTGAGTCTTTCAGAACATTCCTATCAGAGCTTAAAAATCAACTTCCAATTTTGCCAAATTTCTTATTAATTATTTATTTTTATATCCTCACCTGAGGACATTTTTTCATTGCTTTTAGAGAGAGAGAAACATTGATGAAAACATCAATTGGTTGCCTTCTGTACTCTCCCAGACTGGTATTGAACTCACAATCTACGTATGCACCCTGACTGGGAATCAAACTTGCAACCTTTGGTTTACAGGCTGGCACTCAATCCACTGAGCTACATCAGCCAGGGCTTATTAATAAATAGCTTAAAATCAATATCTCAAAAGGTAGCTTCAGGGTAGCAAATTTTTGGTCCCCTTCAGTTGTGTGCAAATGATTCTTTCCTTTTTTTTTTTTAATTTTTAAAAGTATGTGTATTGATTTTAGGGAGACAAGAGGGGAGAGAGAGAGGGAGAGATGTGAGAGAGAAACATTGATTGATTGCCTCCTATATGTGCCCTGACCAAAGATGAACCTACCCTTTTGTTGTACAGGATAATGCTCCAACCAACAGAGCCACACTGGCCAGGCTACAGCTGATTTTCTAACTGCAAAAGGATGGGTGGTTAGTCAGTTTCTTTCTGTTACTTAAAACTGATTAAGGAAAAAAGGGGAGGGGGATATTTTAGGTTACATAACTGATCAGTCCATGGGACATCAGATATGGCCATCCCAGGGTACATCCCCCTTGCCTCCCTGTTGGCTTATTTCTCAGGCAGGCTCTTTCCACATGATCAGCGTACAGACTTGAATAGTATACCCCCCAGATTCCAGTCTACCCCAAATCTCAAAATAGAACTTATTTGGAGATAGGGTCTTTGAAGATGTAATTAGTTAAATCAAGATGAGGGCATACTGGATTAGAGTGCACCCTAAATTCAATGATTGGCTCCTAATAAGGAAAGGAGAAACATCAACAGAAGAGAAACATACACAGAGAGAAGGAGGCCATATGAAGACAGAGGCAGATTAGAGTGATACAGCTACAAGTGAATGAATGCCAAGACTGCCGGGAGCATCAGAAACAAGAAGAGACAAGGAAGGATTCTTCCCCCAGAGCTTTCAGATGGTGTGTGACCCTGCTAACACATTTATTTCAGACTTTTAGCCTCCAGAACTGTGAGAGAATAAGTTTCTGTTTTTTTTAAGCACCCCCACATCTGTGGCAATTTATTGTGCGAATTCCAGAAAACTATTACAATACCCTCAGCAACTCCAGGCTGGCAACTCTGGAAGAAAGGAAGAACACTTTTCTCAATATTTCCAGCAAAAGTCCTGGGGGAAGATCAAAGCTTTGTTTGTTAGTCCCCAATAAGCAATATGTCCAATCACTGGGGCCAAAGGAAAACATTGCTCTGGCCAGATATGAGTCACCCGTCCATTGAGGAGCCCGTGGTGAGGTTAGCCTATCCCAACCTCATGAGGAAGAGTGGTCATCTCTTACCAAAAGAAGAAATGAGCACAGGGCAGGAAGCCCAGGCATCCATATGGAGAGGCCCACGTCGAGAAGAACTGAGACCTTTGGCTACCAGTTCCAGCTAAGCTCCCAGCCAGCAACCACCTGTCCATTACAGGGAGAATAAGTTGATTCTGAAAACTACACTCTCATCCAGGAATAGATTTTTAAAGATATAAAGGAAGTAGAGATTTCTCAGAACAAGTCAGAGCAAGGACAAATTTCCTTTTTGACAGGTTCCTAAACTGACAGATCACAGAGCTGTACTTGTTGGTGAATTGGGTCTTCAGCAAAGACTTTTAACAATCTCTGCCATTATATCCTTGTTGATTAAAATGGAAAATATGAGTTGGATGATAGTATAATTAAGAGGAAAAGTACCTGCTAAATGACTAGAGTGGCCTTTGTAGGATCTGAAAAAGTAGCACTTGAGGCAAAAAACTTATTCCAACAGATTGTAGGCATATCCTGTCCGGGGAATAGATGTTGCTAAAAATGAATGTATCTCTCTCTCTCTCTCTCTCTCTCTCTCTCTCTCTCACACACACACACACACACACACACACGTCAATAAAATTTTTTAAAAGCCTTAGCTGGGTTGTTAAGTTTGTTAGAGTGTCATCCCTAAATGCCAAGGTTGCAGGTTCAATCCCCAGTCAGGGCACATACAAGAATCAACCAATGAATGCACCAATAGGTGGAAGAGCAAATCAATGTTTCTCTAGCTCTCTTTTCTTTCCTCTCTTTCTAAAATCAATACATTTTTAAAAAGTTAAAAAAGAAAGAAATGAGTGGCCAAGGTCACTATACGGGGCCTAGCACCAGTGTTACAGGCATTTTGTGGAGATTGGAGTAAAGAGGTAAGAGGAGGAAGCTGGAGGAAGCCAACCTCACTTGAGGTCATGGAAGGAAGTCCAGCTGGACACTCAGAAGAAGTGTTGATGGGAGTAGCACCCTGACAGACTGTTTATTTGTATTGTGATGGATTAAAATTGGTCACAAGTTATTTACCACATCTCTCATCAACAGGTTAAGTCTACTTCCCTTCCTCTTGAATCTGGGCTGGCCCTGTGACTTGTTCTGACCAATCGAAGTAGCAAATGTGACCAAGACTGGACCTTAAGATATCTTCCACTCCTTCCTATACATTTTGAATAGTCCTTCTTATAATCTAGCTGCCATACTCTAAGGAAGCCCAAGCAGCCACGTGGAGAGGCCCACACAGAGGAGAACTGAGACCTTTGGCTTAGCTGTTCCAGCTAAGCTCCCAACCGGCAACCAGCAACAATGTTTGGCCATGTGAGTGAGTACACTTGTAGCTTCCAGACATCCTATTACCCAAGCCAACACTACATGACGCAGAAAAACACCTGGCTAATACACTGAGTTTTAGAAAATAATTTGTTTTAAGTAACTCATTTTAGAATTGCTTTTTAAATAACAAAGGTTGGAAAACTTTTTATGTAAAAGATTACAATTATATAATTTTTTTGTGGGTGAAAAAAAGGGGTTCTATGGAAAATAGAGTGATCTGATCATAAATTCCTAACTGGGCATATCATGGTGGGTAGTCATGCCCCAGACATAGAACTTTTTAGTAAAAGGTTTATCTTTGTCTTAAGCAAGGCCTGTCCATTGTTGCTATGCATCTAGGTGACAATGCTTTTGAAATAAGCCATAACCACCTTCAAGAAAGCACATCGTCTTAACACCCTGTAACCCAGTATGCCCTGCTTTTTCCCACCTCCATGTAATCTTCCTTTCCCTCCTTAATTTCAAGTGCATAAAAGAAGCTGCAAAACTATTGATCTCAGCAGCATTTGAGATCCTGCTCCTAGGCATATGTTGTCAGTTTGGCTCAAATAAATTCTTATAAAAATTCTCTACAGGTTTGGACATTTCTCATGTTGACACAGTAAAAATGAGATCTGTCCGGAAAAAGTCCAACCACTGTTAATGTAACAAGAACGGTTCACATGACATTGATGTAACCTGGCAGCCAAGGAGAGTGGACTGGAATGCGCATGTGTGAACAAGGATGACTTCACTGTACTAATCAGTGGGGGTGGTAGATATCATTGAGTGAGCCTACATACTGCATGGCTGTTGAATTCAAAATGACTAAGTAAGTAGAGCAATGAGTCTGCATCAAATTTTGCATCAATCTTGAACATTCCTCTGCGGAAACTATTTGGATAATTCAGCCCACAGCTATGGGCAACTGGTGATTAGCAACTTCATTACAATGCAGTCTACTCATATATAATGTCTCATGCAGAGTTTTTGGTGAAACATCAAATCGCACAGACAACTCAACACTCTTATAGCCCAGAATTGGTTCCCCGTGGCTTTTGGCTTTTCCCAAAACGACCAACACCTTTGAAAGGGTAGAGATTTCAGACTGTTGGTGAGATTCAGGAAAATATTATGGAGCAGCTGATGGAGATTGGGAGAACTGTGGGAGGTCCCTGCTCACACAGGTGCCTACTTTGAAGGGGACTGAGATGTCATTGCCCTATGTACAATGTTTCTTGTATCTTCTTCAATAAATACCTCTACTTTTCATATTACATGACTGGATACTTTCTGGACAGACCTTGTACTTTAGGTTTTACAGGCAAGATGGTCTCTGTTGCACCATTCAGCATTGCCATTGTAGCACAAAACCAAACACAGACAATATGTAAACCTATGTAGCCGGCTGCAGTGTAATAAAATTTTCTCTACCAAAAAAATTGGGCTGGATTTGGCCTACGGAATCTGTTTTCCAACACCTGCAATAGATCACTGAAACAGAAATTGGCATCTGGAAGTGCAGTGCTTCCATAACAAAAACCTAAAACATAGCATTGACTTTGGAAGCAGAAAGCTTAGAGTCCTGAACAATAATAGTAAGGAGACTGCAAGTGCAGTAAGGAAGTTGTTACTGGAGGTTATTAGAGACCTAAATCACACACAGGCAACATGAAGTTAACATGGATGGTACAAAATGTATCCAGTGAACTTGTGGTCTTGCCCTGGAGATTTCTAGGCAAAATGTTCAAAGTTGCAACTAACTTGCTTTAGCTGCCTATAAAAAAGTACAGGAAGAAGAAACTTTTGTTTCAAGCAGAATTTAGAGGAACTACAGAGGGCTTGGGACAGTCTCAACAGCCAGCAAAAAAATCAGTCAAAGTAAATGAACTAATATCCAGCACCCTATGGATACCCTCTTTACTCTGCTGGGGCTCCTATACCTGTGCTGGACTGCCACGCTCCCCACCCTCACCCCACCCCTCCTCTTCAATGGCTGAGCTTTTACACACTGTCTATGCTGTTTGGACTTCTACTTCACTCATTCCTACCTAGTGGCCTTTGGACTAAATTGCTTAGAGGAAGGAAGAAGGTAATTTGTTTTATGGTTCATGGTTCCTTGAACGTGAGGAATCATTCTTAGGCCAGATTCAGATGATGAGATAAGATTTGGACCTGGAGGCTGAGCCTGAAGTCTTAATGGGAGGCGCCTTTGGGTAATCTTCAGAGGAGATTAACGTATTTTACACATGGGAGAAATATAATTTGTGGCCACTGGGATTACAAAAGATGGCTGCTAATTTTTTTCAAACCCCTTCTGCCATCAGGAGGTGAAGTCTATTTCTACTCCCCTTGAATCTGGACTGCCCTATAACTTGTTTTAACTAAAATGCCCACATAAGTGATGCTTAAGGCTGGGCCTTAAGAAATCTACATCTTTTTGTTCTTGAAATGCCCCTTATTGGGATACACCCTCCAGTTTGTAAGGAAACCCCAGCAGCCATGTGGAGGGAGGGGCCTTTGTGGAGAGGTCCACATGAAGAACCAAGGTCCCAACCCACAACCCATTCTGACCCAGTCCCAAGCCAGCTCCTACTGCCAGCCATGTGAGCGAGGCCATTTGGGAATTCCCAACTGCGCCAGTGCTCCAGCTGACACCATGAAGCAGAACAGCGTGCACAACCAACACAGTTGTGTGAAATGGTTAGTTTTTAAGACATTAAGTTTTGGGGTTGTGTGTTATTCAGCAACAGATCATTGAAATAACGTTTACCATGTACCCAGCACTACGCTGTGCCCTTCTGGTCTACTAGGGTGAAACAGAAATGTAAACTGACAGGTGCAGATACAGGCACTGTGAAGGGGCAGAGGAAATGCCACTAACCAGTTGAAGGCAGCCTGCAGAGAGGAGCAGAGAACTGAGTGAGTCTGGGCAGGTCAACATGGGACAGGCAAACTACCCAATCCAGACCCAACTTTTGGCCAGTCAGCATGGCAATTTCCTCCTCCAAGTGTCTCCCCCTAATGGGATTGTTTCACCTGAAAAAAGTGAGAGTGGAAAGAGCTGGAGAAGGTTGCCTTGGGTCTATCTGTCTAACACAGTTCATGTTGGACAATGTTGTCCTGAAGGTTTCTGGCCTTCTGCACCTTTCTGTAGAAAGAAATGTACTGATTCTAGGTACCTCTGGACAGGGGCTGGTGCGGCTGGTGTTCGTGCCTTAGTGGACTCTGCATGTTCCTGGGAGATAGAGCAAGTCTTGCTTCTTTTCCTCACTTCCTGGCCACAGAAAGCACCCTGGGACAGGTTTGTGACCCCTAACCTCCCTTTAATCCTGTCTCTTGGCCATTACTTGGACACATTGAAGACATATCACCATTTTCCCATTCCCTCATTTTTCAGATGGGGGCTAATCTGACCCATCCTCCGTCATTGGCCAGGCATTTTCCTCTAGGCATAAATAGGCTGTTAGGTCAGCTTCATCCTCACCAACTCCCTGGCAAATAACTCTTGCCTTTTGTGATCTGAAATAACTTAGCAATAGTTCTTTCCATCTCCCTTTCCCACATTATGAAGAAGATAATAAACATTTATTTAACAGGTATTTTAACAAGTATTTACTTGGTGCCAAGCATATACCGGGTCAGTTCTAGGAACTGCAGTTCTAGGATGCAGTAGTGAACAAGAAAGTTCCTGTACTCACAGAACTGATTTTCTATTGTTTGAGACAGACAACAATAAATAAATGTCCAACGATGGGTAGTGGTATCTGCTCTGAAAAAAAATCAAGTAGCTTAAGTAAATTTGGGTGGGTGACTATTCTATAAGGGTGGTCTAAGAAGACCTCTTTCATAAGGTGCCATTTGACTGACCTGAATGAAATATGGGGGAAGTGTATTTCCAGCTAAGTGAATAGCCAAGTACAAAGGACTTGGGGTAGGAAGAAATAGGGCAAGGGATAGCAACTAGGCTACAGTGACTAAAGCCAGTAGAGAATGATAAAGGTAGGGAAGAGAGAAAACAATCAGGTCAGGTAGGGCTTCTATCTTTTTAAACTTTGTTCTGAATAAAATGGCAGGATCCGATTTATGCTGATAAAGATCTATCCAGATGCTCTTTGGAGAACAGCCTGGGGAAGGGGCAGAAGCAGGGTGACCAGTTAGGAGGCTGCTATGTATACCAAGGCCAAGATATTGGTGGTTTGGTTTGGAATGGTTACAGCAGAGTTAGCAAGTGATGAATTCTGATGATTAGAAGGTACCCCTGACAAGACTTGCTGAGGACCTGGAAACGGCATGTGGGAGTAAGGGAGGCACACTGACGACACCTTTTAGGTTTGGGGCTTGGGGAACTGGATGACAATGGTGCCATTCTCTGAGGTAGGTGAGAGTGGGAGTGGAGTGTAGGTAGTAGGTTGTTGGGGGTGAGATGTGTTAAGTTTAAGATGCCAGTATGATAGGCAGTAGAATATTAGTCTGGGGGTCTGGGCTAGAGACAGAAATTTTGTAGTCAAGAGCATATAGTTGTTATAAATCAACTCTGAGGAGTGAGCATAGACAAAGATCATCATGGACTATGGCCTAGAGACTTCAACAACTGGAGAAGAGGAGAAGCCCATCAAAAGATGAGAGTGGCCAGTGAACTGAGGAAGATCATGAAAAAGCCTGGTGTCCGGGAAACCAGGTGAAGAAAGTGGATTATATACCACCACAACCAAAGGTCAACTCCTGAGTCTCAGTTTTCTCATCTGTGAAATGGAGACAGTAGCAATTGCCTACTTTACAGCATTGCTGAAATTAAATGAGATAAAACATGTAAAGCAATTAGCTTGTGTCTGATTGGCACATACCAGTAATAAACTTTTTTTTTTTTCAAAGAGGGGGAGAAACATTGATGTGACAGAGAAACATCGATTGGTTGTCTCTTTTTTTTTATAGATTTTAATTTATTTATTTTTAGAGAGGGAAGGGAGGGAAAGAGACAGAGAGAGAGAAACATCAATGTGCGGTTGCTGGGGGTCATGGCCTGCAACTCAGGTATGTACCCTGGCTGGGAATCGAACCCACAACACTTTGGTTCGCAGCCCCTGCTCAATCCACTGAGCTACGCCAGCTAGGGCTCGGTAATAAACTTTTAATCCATGTTATCATTCCCCCCACTTTAGAGTTGCTTCTCCATCTACATATATGACAGCACCTCCATGAGTCCTTCTCAGGAGTGAGGTGTCTCTGCTTACTCAGGCACTAGGTGGGCCTGAGGCGTGGCTTCTGGATCAAATTTGAACCAAGTCTGGCCAGTGCCTAAGCTTCTCACCCACACAGCCTCCCGCCCTTACTTGCAAATCAATACGAAGTAAGCATGTGGAACGTAAGTTTTGGAGCCAGAATTCTGCCTCTCATCCGCTGTGGGATCTTATGCAAGTTTCTTAACCTTCTGAGCCTTGAACTCTTTTATCTGTAAAATGGGGACAATTCCTACGTCACAGGCTTGTGTCCAGGCCCTCTGCATATTGTTAATAAAGCCGGCTCCTCTCCTCCCGCTTGCTGGCAGAGGAGTTAGTGAGGGTCCGGGCTCCCCTCCCAAAGCGTGTAACCCGGCGGGGTGGGACGCGCTAGAAGAGGCACCCTCCCCCCCCCCACTCCTTAAACCGAGCCAGGCAGGCCTCAGGTCGCCTGGGATATACTGGAGAAGCCGACTCAGCCACTTTCTTCACTAGGCGCCGGGTGAGCCACGTCTTCTCGCCCGGCCCCCACCGCCGCAGAAGGGCTCAGTCACGCCCGAGGGAGGGGGCCCGAACGCCCGAGAGAACCCTCCGCAGTTCTCGCACCCCGCGCTCGGCGTCTAAGTCCGTTTCCTGGACAACCTCTCTCCGCCCAGCTTCCAGACCCCCCCGGCCTAACGCCGCCACGACCCACCACCCCTCGGAACAACGACCCGCTCGCTTTCTTCCCCGCCCTGTTCGGTGCCGCACACGCCGCCCTTGAGCACTCCAGGAAGTGGCGGCGCCTCGGAGGAGCAGGAGGCGCGCCTTGCTAGCGACCGAGGCTCCGGAGGACGCGGCTCACTGCTGGTCGTCGGGGTCGGAACTCGAACACAGAGTGACTCCTCGCCCTGGGGGCTGCCAGCCGGCCCCTCGAAACAGCTCCGCCCCGGGCAGCTCCGCCCCCTGGAGCTCCACCCCTGGCAGCTCCGCTCCGAAAGTCACGCCCCCTGCCCCGGCCCTCCCGGCCCCCGCCCTGGCGCTCACGCCCGAACACTGCGCGCCCGGGCCCGCCCACACCCCGGCCCCGCCCCCGGCCCCGCCCGCGCCTCGGGCCCCCTTAGCGTCGCTCCGCCGCAGGGCCGGCGGGGAGTCTCCGCGTTCCGCTGCTCTCCGTCCGGCGCCGAGTTCCTCGGCTCTCCCCGCCCCCTCCCCCAATTCCCGCGGTCTGGCAGCGCCTGGCCGGCGGCCCGCGGGCGGGCCGCCCTACCAGCTGTAGCCCACCCGCCTCTTAAAGCGGCGGCGGGAAGATGAGGTTCCGGGAGCCTCTGTTGGGCGGCAACGCCGCGATGCCGGGCGCATCCCTGCAGCGGGCCTGCCGCCTGCTCGTAGCCGTCTGCGCGCTGCACCTCGGCGTCACCCTGGTCTACTACCTGTCCGGCCGCGACCTGAGTCGCCTGCCCTATCTGGTCGGAGTCCCCTCACCGCTGCAAGCTGGCTCGAACGGCGCCGGTGCCATCAGGGAGCCCTCCGGGGAGCTCCGACCGCGAGGAGCAGCGCCGCCGCCACCGCCTTTGGACGCCTCCTCCGAACCGCGTCCGGGTCACGATTCCAGCCCAGACGCGGACTTTCGCCCCGGCGCCTCGAGCAACTTGACTTCGGCCCCAGTGTCGCCCAGCACAGCACTGTCGCTGCCCGCTTGCCCTGAGGAGTCCCCGCTGCTCGGTAAGAACTCGAGTCTGCGTCAGTCCGAGAACTGGGACCGTCTGGGATTTCCCCGACAGGCCCCCCTGGACTGTCGCCCGTGCCCTCTTCCTGGACGGCCAGCCTCCCTGTACCGAATCTGAGTGCCCGATCCCTAACAGTTTCCAGGCTGCATGGGGGTGAGAGGCTGGTAGTTTAATCCCTTTGGATTCGTGTTGGAAGCCGGTGCGGGAGTGGTATAGGGAAGCCACAGGCCCCTCTGGCCCCGGAGCCGGAGAAGGCCTTGGAGACTCCCCTGCTCTTGCCCAAGCCTCAAGAAGTTTTGGATTTTGAGTGTTTAGGGCTTGGAGCAGCCTTCGCCTTGCTAGCTCAGAGTAACCTCCAGTTTGGAGGACAGATGATGAGGCCTCCAGTGGGAAAGGGAGCTGGTCTCCCGGTTCACCTCTGTCACAGAACCACTCTCAAGGGACTGTGAGCTAACCTTTTCTCCTGAGCTTTTAGACAAGTGACTTTTCCCAAAACCTCTGCTTTCTTGCCTGTTAAATGGGGACAATAAATGGTACCTATTTCAGGAAGACGTTTTGGAAAATTAGATGAGACGATGTAAAGAAGGGTTTACATTAATAAGGGTAAACCCTCAGTAACTTGTCACCATTGTGTTCGGCTCCTCTTCCATATCCCTGCCCTGGGACCCTCTTCTCCTGCTTCTTGCCCAAAACCTCAGTGAGCCGGGTCCTTCCCGGGGCAGTAGGTGTTTGTGAGAACATAAAGTGTGTACCCTAGGGATGGGAGGGCTGAAATGTAACCAGTTAGTACTGAGTTGTCCCTTTCTGGGAGCAGCCTGGAGTCTCTCTTGTCTTGCCTAGAGGATGTGAACTCTAACCTCCAGCCTCTGTTTCAGCTAGGCTGGGAGTTTGGGTGGGTGGGATTACATTCCCCACCTCAGTGGGAGGCTGAGCCTACTCCCAGACCTTTCCTTGACCTGTAATCCACAGGCAGTCAGGCCCAACACTGCCACAGGTTGCTCCCAAGATTACCAGACAGGTGGTTGCTCATTTCTAATGCCAGGGTTTAGAGAATGTTGTTCTGAGTGAGGGGCCCTGGCAGGCAAGCAGTCAGGCATCCTGCTGATAGGAACTCTTACACTTCTCCACAGAACCCTGGCAGGGCAGGCCTCTACCATGGTCTTGCTCAATATCTCCGGTAATTACTTCAACATTTTTGTATCCAGTTTGAGAGGAAGCTCTAGCAATTGGTCAGACAGGAATTGTGGTAATAGGGGGGACTTTTTTTTAAAGTAGAAAATTGAATTCCTTTGGACTTGATGATGGTCATCTGGGAAGCAGACTAGTCCTATAAAATGAAGTCGAACCTTTGCCCTGCTGCTAAGTGCACGAGGTGGGCTTCCTCAGGTTGCCCGTGCTTAACTCGCAGGACTCGCAGGACTAAATGAGATTGTGTATGTTAACTATGTGACAAATAGGACTTGAGACTCGAAGTTTTTATTTCTCAGACTCCTGTGGAGTCTGAGAAAAGAAGGAAGAATGAGTTCCCTTACCCCAGATAGGCCTGGTTTTGCCCTTTTGTTTTTAATTGTTGCCTGGACTTTATGCAGAAAGAAAGAGAAATTAATTAGCAAATTAAAGGACCCCAAAGTTCATTAAATTGATGCTCGAGGTGTGGACTTCCCGATGATGCATGAGAGGTTGTGGTGACTCACCTCTCTTTGCTCATGGTGTTGCTAGTGATTGGTGGCCAGTTGCTGGGGCCTCTGAATTGCAGTTCACTCTGAATTGGTGGCTCAAAGGGACTTTCTGAGAGACAATGCTTTGGAGGGCAAGGAGAGAGGCCCTGGGTCTCTTTTCTAGCTTGGCTGCCTTTGTGTGACAGGCATGGGACCGTGGTATTCAGGCGGCTGGTTGAGGCAGCCCCAGAAAGTGAAGGCGGAGGGGTTTTCTTCATTTTAACTGAGCCTTTAGGTTTGAGTGGTTGGGTGCAGCTCCTGGAGGGGAAGTTCTTGGCTGGGACGGAGCCTTGAGAAAGCTGAAAGTCTCCCTGGGAGTGTGTTTGTGTGTTGCGGGGGTGGGGGTGGGTAATCTGTTCAGCTGGACAGGTGTCTACCAAAGCCCTTGTTGGGTGGTTTTGAGGTTGGTGGGAGAAAGCATCCGTGGGTTTTAGAGCTGTGGCCTTTTCACTACTTGCAGTTTCTTTCCACAACTTGGCTGTTCTTTCTGGTGTCCAGGGGTCTGGACCAGATGCTGCTGGTAGGTGGTGGGTAATGGGCATGCCCTTCTATGGAGGAGCCAGGTGGGGCTGTTGACAGGTCTGTGTTTGACTTGTACTGGGTTGTCAGAGCCTCGGGATTGATTTCAGATAGACTTGGTTTGAATCCTTTCTCTGTCTGCACTCTGTGATGTAGAGCAGGGGACAGTGTTTGGAGCCATAGTAGGTACTGCCCCTGGCACCCCCAGGTAGTAATGTGAGGTCTCTTGAGTTGATTGCTGCTTCAGGGAGGTGGGCCTTTCCTGAGGATTCCTCCAAGTTCCCCAGGGAATTCTCCCAGGGAGATCGGCTTGTAGGTGGTGTCCTCTCAGCCCTCAGGGGCCTGTCAGTATCCAGTCCATTGAACTGTGGCAGTGAGGCTCCTTTTCCTGGCTGCCTGGGTGTTTGCCTGCAATGTAGTCAGCCTGGGAGGAGCAGTGGCTTTGCATTTCGTGTAGTTTCCCTCCACCCCTGCCCCCACCCAGAATGTTATCTCTGCTCAGATTTGGCAGCAGCTCAATGTGACCTGACTGGTGACTGGTGACTGGCATTGGCACTGCCAGCCCAGAGAGGGTCTAGGTAGGAGGTGGGCAGTACCTCAGGTTGGACTGGTTAGGGGAGGCAGGGACCTGTTAGTGCACAGGGCCTAGGACTGTTAGTACAGTCCCCTCAAAAGTGCTTTGGGGCAGGAGGTGGTGGTGAGTTTGAGACTGCTTAATTTAGACCCGAGAGGCCCCTCTAGCTCACCTGTGCTATGAGGAAGACTCTGATCTACAGGTGGGCACCAGAGAGTCATGAGCACCTGGGCTAGCAAATAGAGCCATTTGTCTATGAGTCATTTTCCCTGGCTTTTGTGGGGACTGTCAGCTGAGACTCTGCCTCAGTTTGTGCCCTGGAAGACAAAGCATTGGCTGGGCCTCTTCAGAGCTCTCAGCTGGCCCTCAGGTATTTCTCTGCCAGCACGCTGTCCCCTCCCCCCTTTCCCACATATGCACACATGTGGACACAAGCCCAGGACAGTGTGAACTTTGAGGACATCTGTCCTGGCCTCTGCTGGGAAAGGGCTTTCTCTCCCCTTTAGGGGATGTGTCTTGGAACCTCATCACCTTCCAGCTTGGGGTGGAGTCTGATCCTACGGCTTAAGGAGGCACGAGGAGCCTCCCCAGTGTCTAGATCTTTAAGCTTTGGGAGGTTAGGTAACTAGTTCTTTAATCCAGTTTTGTCCTGTTGCTTTTCTAGGGATATTTATTGACATACACACAGACTTGCCTTCTTGTTCAACAGGCTGACATTGAGAAATACCCTCCATGGCTGTCTGGCTTTCTGATGGTGACAGGAGTGATTCCTGTCTGTTTTATTCCTCTCAGACTCTGAGCAAGTATGGGAGCCTTCACCTGATGAAGCAGGTATAAGCTCCTTGGGGCACAGGGAGCAAGAACCAAATGTGGGATTGGACTCAAACTGCAGCACCTTAGGGAGATAGCATCCCCTGGTGGAACTGTCTAGTCCCCTGACCCCCACCCCTCATTGTGGAAAGGGGAAGGACCCTGCCTCCCTGCACTAAGCCAGGGAGTGGCATGCTGGGGCTGAAATCCAGTCTCCTGCCTCCCTGCCCAGTGCTGTTTCCTGAGGTTAGTGTTCAGTAGGCACCTAGTGCAGAGGCTCAGGTGGCCTATGTGGCCCAGAGTTTGGGAGAATCCTGCTAGGTGTGTTTGTGTGTCCCTTTGTAAGATCTTATATGATGACAACTTGCCTGCATGTTCCAGATGGCTAAAGCCTTTGGTCACTTAACTCATTCTTCCAACAACATGCCTGTCCTATGCCTGCTGGGTGCTAGAGCTACAGAGAGGAAGAGGACAAGATGTGACCATATGGTTTAGGTGGAGGGGGCATATTTAAACTGTGCTGGTGACATTTAGGGAAATGTGTGTATGTATTTAGTGTCTCCCTTGCCTTAACCATCCTCCTTTCCTTCTTTTCTTCCTTATTTCTTTCTCTTATTTGGAAACCCGGAGTTGGTATAAAGTTCTCCCGTCTTAGTTTTGTTTTATTTTATTTTTTTACATTTTATTTTCCCTGGTTTTATTTGCTTGTGTGGAGAATGTTTCTGAAGCCTAACATTAGATCTGCTGGGTAATCTTTAACTTGCCACTCTTTAATGACTATGATGAGACATTAGCAGCCATATGACTGGGCATTATAGTCTTTGGATAGCAGCAGGGTAGGGATTCCCAGGCTGACTTGGCTAATTTATCGGTTGGAAATGATGGGACAGTGACCAAGGCAGTCCCAGTCCCAGCCCTTTTATGGATTCTGCCCTAGGGGCTTTCCAGACTTTGGGGGCTCAGCTGGGTTCTGGGTGTTTGTGAAAGGGGCCCAGTCATCCTGTAGTCAAATCAAAGCTGGTCACTCCTCCAGACTGTTACCCAGTGCCTCCTACCCCTTGTTCCCTGTTGAGTATTCCCTGCCTATTCCTGGCAGGAAGCAGAGAGTGAAATTCTGTTTGAATCCACAGTCACCTGGAAATTCCAGTTTTTCCCATCCAGTTAACTACCAATCCAGTTGTCATAGGAGAAATGGTCTGCCCTTTCTGCCTAAATCCCTTGAGGGCCTGGCACTGAGGCCATTTTACATTTGGCTCTGGCATTGTCTGGTGTGTTCTCTGGGCAATGAGGTCACTGGGAAGGCCAGCCAGAGAGACCCTGCCTGCCTCCTGCGGGAGTTAACAAGATGTGGGTTTGGATTTGGTGGCCACCACA